CCCGGCTTAGGGACTCTGCCCAGGACACCGCACGGGGCTGCCCACACGAGACAGACCCAGGAGTGCTGGGTGTCTGGTGGCCCCAGAAGGAGCCCTACCCACCCCTCCCTGGGTGGCCAGGGAAGGCTTGCTCTGAGTCATCGTCAGAGGTGCAGAGATGGCACGGCTGACCCAGTAGGGACAGTGGACGCTAATGAGCTGAGGCCCATGAAAGCTGGCCAGGCTCGGCAGCCACGTGGGAACGACGTGGGGTTCCCGGGAGCCTGCGGGGCCAGGTGCTGTGGGCAGTGCCCGGGAGCCAGGGTCCTCGGGCCTCGCGTGGGAGCCGAGCGGCTGCCTGTCGGCCTCAGGGGCCCAGGCCCAGTTCACTGCCCCGCCCCCACCAGCACCTTCCTCCTCCTCAGAGTCCTCAGGCCTCCATCTCAGCTCAGAGGCCACTCCCTGGGGAGCCCTCCTACTGCACCCACTGGGGGTGTCAGCATGTCGCCCCGCCATTCACTGTTTAGGGCCCTCTGTCCTCTGCCTGGGATCGAGGTGACAGCCTTGGGGGGCTGGGAATAAATGAGTCCACCACGGCAGCTGCCCCAGGGGCATGAGGGCCAAAGCAGGGGCCTGGAAGTCCCCCCACCCCGACCCAGGGCAGGCCCGTTGGCTGCAGCCCCCGCTGGCCGATCTCAGCCCCCACGCCAAGCTCCCTGGCTCCAGGCCACCTGGTGGCCAGCAAAGGCCGGTCCCTGGTGGGCGCTCAAGAGAAGTCCCCTGGTGACAAGGAGCCACCTCGAGGGCAGAGGATTCCTTCTAAGGGGCTGATGAAAACAATGGTTCTGCACTCACTCCCCAAAGACCCGCCCGTGTCGGCCTGCACTACCCGCCAGGTGGACGCGGGGGCCTCAGACTCGGGGGCTCACGGCTCCCCTGCCTGTGGACAGCCTTCTGCTACTGGACCCCCAGGCCCTAGCCGCGCAGCACTAGCCCCGTCCCCAGCCCCGTGCGCCCGGCTCCCATGGGGTCAGCGTCCACGCACCGTCAAAGCCCCGCAGCTGGGTGGCCAGCATGGCCTGCAGGGCGCGGCCGCTGTCCAGGAGCGCGGTCTCCAGCTCCGTGCGGCTGCGGTTGGCCAGATTCTCCTCCATCTCGCTGGTGCAGCAGGTGTAGCCCTGGGGGCAGATCCGCAGGTGCTCGCCTGTAGGGGGGGTGCGTGTGAGGGGGCGTGGAGGGAGGCTGGAGGCGTGAACTCCCACAGAGGCGGCTGCGGGACCAGGAGGCTGGCCTCACGCTGGGGGACCGCCTGGGGAGAGCGGCCCGTGCACAGCTCGGGCGGGGGCCGGGAGGGGCCGGATGGCTCCAGCGTGGTGCCGAAGGCTGGGTCCCAGGCAGGGCGTCACATGTCACCCCCGCCGGGCGCTCCAGCCCCCAGCCCTGCCCTGCTGCGAGCATGTACTGAGGGGCCGTCCCAGGTCACACCTGCCGCCCACTGCAGAGCGGCCTCGGGGTCCCGTGTTTGGGCTGGGGTGGGCTGCCGGGCGCAGGGCTCCCTGGAGCTGAGGACTGAGAACAATGCGGGAAGAAGGACCCACAGGGCAGGGCAGTCTCAGCCTCCTGTCCCCAGTGCCGCCTGGGGCTCAGGCTCCCACTGAGCAGGGGCCCTGACCTGCAGGGGTGCCCGGGGACAGGCAGTTCTGGGCTGGCCAGAAGTAACGGCCCGAAGGGCACACAGGCCTGCTTTGGTGGGGGGAATGCGACACGCCTGTGCCCCCCTCGGGTGTCTGCCCCTCCTCTGCACCTCCAAAGCCCCGTCACCCCTCGTGCCGCGGCCTCTGGCACCGCTCACAGCAGCACCGTCTCCGTGTCCCCGTCACGGTTAAGGACAGGCAGAGTCCCCAGACCCCGGGGAAGGGGGCACCTGCGGGGTGGGGCGCTGTTGGCTACTTAACATGCAGGCGTGAGAGGGAGCCGGTCCCCGCTTCCTCACGGGGCGGGGTTAAGCCGGGTGCTGCGATGCCGTTTTACGGACCAGGAAGGTTGAGGTTCCCGTCCAGGTCACACCGCGAGGGGCCGGCTGCACTCGCGGGGCTGCCCGGCAGCTCTCCTCACAGCCCCCCGCCCCGGCCCACTGCCCGCCACGCTGCGTCCCAGTGCCCGGGCAGAGGCCGTGTGGGGCTGGAGGCAGAGTGGCCCGGGCAGAGCTCCCAGGTGACCCGGAGAGGCCCGGGTGGGGGTTATGAGACAGTAGGTACCTGGTCGCCCCCAGGCCGAGCTAGCCCTGAAGAGCCTGCTGGGACAGCCGGGTCAGACCAAGTTCACCCCACACGCAGAGCCCCCGGGGAGGTTGAGACACGCGAGCAGATGGAACAGGGAGCCGTGTCTGGGCTCGGCCGAGGCGCAGTGTGGGCATCGATGTGCCAGCAGGAGGGGGTGGGAGGGCCGCAGGCTGCTGCACACAGGCGACTGGAGGCCGTGCCAGAGGGCCAGGAA